CTAGCGCTAAACCATCGCGGGAACATCGCAACGAACAGTACGGCCGACGTAAACGAGGCTGAATCTGAATACAAAATATCTCGCTCCCAATACAATACGCGGCCTCAATGCGGACGTATTGCGACCAGATCGGCGAGGGCGAAAGATCTCGCCCGATGGCAACCTCCCGCTGGATTTGCATGAGCCGACATTGTTCACACTCGAACGTTCGATGCGCGTCGCGCGTTTCGTGTTTGCACGAGCAACGTGTTAGTCATCCTTCTGCCGAACACGCGATGCGTGTGTGCGTCACGTTCTCCGTGGCGAATAAATTTTGATGTGAAAGTTCTATAGTGGCGGGTCGGACCTACTGTGGCAGACGTCACCACGTCAACATTACACATCTTATATATAGTATAGTATAGTAGAGAAACACTGATAATTTTAGAGATTTCTAGTGCGATGTCGAAAGCAAACATTCAGCATTGCACCCGTGCGACGCCAGGGCGGGTCGCTAGTTTTATATATAATATACGGCTGGACCGATTTTAATGAATATTTTTGTATGTCTGCAGGTGGATTCGAGATTGGTTTAGATTCACTTTTTGAAGATTTTTTCTAAATTATCAAATTTAAGTCGTGTGTACACGACGTCTGCTAGTCCGCCAGTTTATCATAACTAGTGGTCGCCTAATGGTCGAAATTCGACGATAACTAATTATAAATATTAGGATTATGCACAGGCTCTCTATATAAACTATAAGTGTGGGAAATCCTCCGTCCACGCAATTTTCGTAAAAAGTGTTACAAAGTTGTCGCTTCAAGTATTAACATATACATAATTATGATAGTATAATTCTGTGCGGCGCAAGCGCGGTTCCACCACATGAGTGCTATAACTTCCCCTAAAACCTTCCATTACTGGCCTCCCGTTTATTATTTTAAAGTTATACTTCTTTTGGCGTGTTTGGAAAAATGTGAGAGCAAAATTTTTACGATGGGCACGCACACCGACTAACAAAAAGCGGCATGATTCCCGGTAACCGATTTAATCTTGGCAACCAATAGCGACTTTTTGACATTTAACAATAATCTTATCCTCCGCCTGTTTTGGGATTACCGACCGAGCTATTATAACATTTTTTTTGCGGCGAAATTTACCGTTATATTCGAATGATATTTTTCATTCCCTGAAAACAGGGATAAAAGGACATCTTCTAACAATAACACCTAGCTAGATCGATTTTTCGCCCCCGAATCTACGCACATACTAAATTTCATGAAAATCGCTGGAGCCGTTTCCAAGATTCCGATTATATATATATATACAAGAATTCCTCGTTTAAAGGATAAGATACGGTCAGACGGCTGCGGTTCGTATCACGATCATTTACACACATATTTTTTTTACTTTTTTTTTCTATACCAGAGCATTTTCTTTATTTTTTATTTTTTATTTCCAAAATACATAATTTCCCAAAAAAAAATCGGTCCTCCAGGTACTATATGCTTATAGGAGTAATATCATTGACTACACATAATTCGAAATTATTAAAATAAACCATTAACAATTTCTTCTAATGTCTTCATGCTAAAGAAGTACAACTTTTCAAGTGCGTAGATAAGTACACCACATAATGTTTTTATGTGAGGAGGTAGCAACCGAGCAGGCGGCACAACCAATGTAAAGTGATAACTGCCGCCCAATGACATTTGCAAGTGGGCCCCGGCTACCTCACTCACCAAACGAAACGTATAACACTTCGGATCTGCTTTCTTTTTCTTTTTTTTTTAACTCTTCGGATCTGCCCAACAGCGAACACTGTTGCGTGGTCCTACCATCGTAAATCCGCTTCATCAATATCTCCACTTTCGTATGCGCACAGGAGTCGGAAAATTTCCACCGTCAGTTTTACTGTGAGACTTTTCCTCAATTAGCACTTTAATCACCTAAGAAGAGATTAAATAATGGCAAACGTAATGTTTAATTTCAAAATGTTACATTTTACTACCTACGTTACATTAATTGCATAAAAGTAAAAGTAAAGTAAAGTAACAGCCTATAAATGTCCCACTGCTAGCCACAGTGTTCAACTGTACGTTGTGTATCAGGTTAATAGTCCACCAGGCATCCCCACTGCAGATCGGTGGACTTCACATTTCTTCGAAATATACAGCGTGTCGTTACTATCGCCACAATAAATGAATACACGTCTAACACTACTTGTCAATAATCGTAAAAAAATATGAACGTTAAACAAAATCCATAATTAAAAAAAATATTTTTCAAACAAACTAATTAAGTAAAAAAGAAACAAAATTTGTAACATCCTATACAACTCGCGCCACAGCGTCGCATTACAAGCCTCTCTTTCTAACAGTATGTTTTGTCTCTTTTAAATTCATTCAACCCATATGATGGTTTATGACCTTTACAAATGAACTTTACGTTACAGTTTTATACGTAAGGATGTCCTAAAATGTTTTGTTTTGGAAAATTTAATAACTCTGTAAATATTGATGTTTGAAGAATGTAAATGTTTAATACAATTTTAAAATGTGTGTTCATTTAATGTCGCGGTGGTAACGATACGCTGTATATATTTTTTGTTAGTATTTCAAAAATATGCAGGTTTCCTCACGACGTTTTCCTTCACCGCTGAGCACGTGATACGTCGGCACTAAAAGTTAACAATTTCATTGCTGCCGGCACCGGGGATCGAACTCGGGTTGCTCGGTTGAAGGTGAGTGCCCGGGCAACGAGCTATCAGTTTTTTCCGTCAACATAATTATGAGTAAAATCAATAATGGTTTTGAGTAGGTATTCCGTAATTTCTGAGTTTAAATCTTCTCAAGAATCAACTTGTTTTTATCTGATCCATGCATAAATAATACATACGTGCCATATTTAGTAAAATGAGCAGGGTATTATGGGACTATATTCTGATACAAATTGTTCGTCTGATTTCAATCAGTCTTAACTTCTCTACATAACTAAGAACTTACGGGTAATACCAAACGCAATATTTTTTATGAAGGTGGTAAGCTAGCTGGCGATTCACCCTGTGAGTTCACGGTACTTACCCGGAAGGACCTGTCTAATACGCAACAGCCAAGCCATATAAAAAGAAAAAAAAATACTGTCAACATATAATTTTAGTTACCCGTGTCGAATACACCTTAATCAACATTTCCATTTAATTCTATGATTTTTCAGACAGACATCAGTTTTCCAATACTATTCAATATAAATACTAATAGTATATAAAATACTAATAGTATATAAATACAATTCAAAATTTTGCTTTAAAAAAATGATTTAGTCAATTATTATTAAAAATCAATAACAGACAAAAAGGACTACGTATACGATTCAGTTAAATGATTTCTCTTTTATAATTTATTGGTAAAAGAGCCATAGGGGCGGGCAATGTGAAACAGTATAGCAGAGGAGTCAAACACCATAAAACTGGCACTAAATTAGTATATTTGTCGAGTGGAATTTGTTAATAATGAATCTTAAATTATTAATAATGAACCCTTAAGGGCCTGTAGCGTTCAATAAGATTCACTTGAGAATAAATTCGTTCATTAGCGAAGTTTCGGGCTTACTACTTACTTTAGTACGTACCTACTTGACCCCGCTCAGAGACTACTATAATTAGCATTTAACTAGCATCTTAGTGCGTCAGTCTAAGCTTAACTAATAACTGACTGCACTTGAGATGTAACGAAGACGATTAATTGAATGACCGTTGTCTTATTTTATTCAAAATGCGACAATGTTTTGTTACATCGTAATTAGATGGTTATTAGTACTTACCCGGAAGGGCTTGCCAATTCGTTCAACAGGTGCCACGTTCTCACGGAATACCGGCGTGAAGTGTAAGTGTAACTTTCGCATCTAGTCTGGCGAGTGAGGTAATCGGTGCCCACATTTAAAAAAAAAATTTGGTAACGCATGGGAAAATTCGTGGTTGTAGATGTCCATGGGCGGCGGTGATCATTTTCGGTTCAAGATCAGGTGAACTGCCTGTTCGTTATCGAACTTTTCACTTTTCACATAAAAAAAATATACCCAGCAGTGTCGACGCATAGCGGAACACGTTGCGATGACAAACATATTGCACCAATGACACTATACTGACATTTCATAATATAAAATATCATTATATTACATTAACGAGACTTCTCTGGTTTCCCTTCATAACGTACGTACGTACATCAACGAAACGTGTATACCTCAAATCGTCAATTAATATCAACTATTTTCTGACAAGTATTTCTAAAAATGTTTGAGTACGTAGGCAATGGAAAACTTTAAGAAATTCTAAAATTTCATATAAAAATTAAGACATTGTATACGAATTTGATAAAAACATAATCTAAATTATTAAGCCGGTTCAGTACGAAATAGGAATGCACAAAATGTTCCTAAGGAAACAACTCGTGCAACAGTCCTATTTGACAGTTACATAAAATAGAATTTAACTTTTATGTAAAGTTTTCTCACTTGTGGCGCCACCATCGCGCGACATGACAGCAATTTTTTTTAACACGTTTGACAAAATTTTTCCGGCCAGTGGCGAACATTAAAATATGCTAAATAATTTATTGCCAAATATTTTTATATCCTATTTTGTTCTGTATTAATTTCCCTTCAAATATAAAAAAAATCAAATTTAAAATTTTTTAGACTTTTTAGATACTTGATACATAGTTATACATATCTATATACATTCTCTACATGTGTATTATGATGTTTATTTTATGCAAATACCTTTAGAAAAAAAAACTAAGTTATTATAAATATTATAATTTATCATTATTATTTAACTAAATTTCTACAATAATATGTAATTTTAGATAGATTTAATCTTGTAAATATTACATAGATAAAGATTGTAACATTAAAAAAGAAAATTATTGCATTTATACAAACAATTATAATTTCTAAAAAACTCTATTAAAATTTATTAATAAACAAATATTGTAATTGATATGGTTAGTGAAACATTTTAATGAATTTGCAGTCTTATATAAAAACTCCACGGAGCGACGACCCACGCGTCTGCACGGCATGGCCACTGAGACTAAACGACGAGCAAATTCAAAATTCGAGCTGCCGTCAAAACCGGGCGCACAGACAAAAGACAGCCGAGCCGATCAAGTCGCGCAGCACCGTCTTCCGTCATAAAACTGTTCACCCAATAACCCCAGCACCGGACACCAAAATGAACAAGCTGTACATCGGCAACCTGCCCATAGAGGCGGACGAGGCGGCGGTGCGGCAGCTGTTCGCCGAGCACAACCTCACGGTCGCCGATATATCGGTGAAGCGCGGGGGCTACGCCTTCGTCGACTTCCCCGACCAGTCCGCCGCTGACCGCGCCATCGATAAACTCCACGGTACGTACACAATCCTCGACAACGCTCTGGCACTAGGGCCCACCATCATCATCATAATTCCGTTTGAGTCCACTGCTGAACATACACTGCCATGAAGTTCACCAAAAAAGTTCGTGGTAAATTTATCTAATACTTACAAGATTAAATCTATCTAAAATTAGGTACGTATCCAGTAAACAAACCTAATCCAAAAGATAATATTTATAAAACACGAGATAAATTGTGATTGTCCTAAAACAATGTATGCGAGTCAAATTGTATAGGATGTTATGCCCAGAATTTTCTTGCCGATGTTTTCCGACGAATTTCATACGATCCGATTATGAAACGCCCTTGTGACAGGATCTGTCAATAGGTTTCAACACTTCGTCACGTGTAATAATCATAACATATAAACTATAATGATAATCATATTAATATTTAAAAAGCATCGTTTGTTACATTCATTTCGATACAATACGAGTGTACATTTTATCTCAATATCCTCTTTTAGGTGTTGATGGATTCCATTTTCCAATAAGTTGATACACTTATAGATACTTAAATTCTCAACGCTTCTTTCATACTAAAGCAAATTGTCACAAAAAATCCTGATTAATAATATATTTAAAAAAAATCCCCAGACTTTATTTTTTAATATTATATATTAGGTAATATTATATATATATATATATATATATATATATATTTAGTAATGAAGTATTTATTATTTTGCACTGTATATAACTTACATTAACCTAATTTGAAATTCATAAAACAAAATGACGTAATTTTTAACTGCGGCTAGTAGGCTTAATATATTATAGGTAAATGTTGCATGTGAATACAAATTAATGTGAATAGTGCGTAATTTTTAGTGCTGGACGGTTTCAAAATGAGAGAAAGAATATTCAAATGCACATTTGTTTTATTATGACGTTTACAGAATAAAATTTCACGGACCAAGATGTTATTTAGTTACCTCTCATATCAATTATTCGCTGACTTGCAGCGAAGCTCGCAATGCTTTGCGATGGCAAATAGTCTAGCGGTAGCGTTTGTGCGCTCAAGCAAGGTTTGTTTCTCTTCGAGACACTATTTGCAATGACAACACGTCGTACATGGTATTCGTAAGTGCACTGGTATGGAGAAACTCCTTTGATGCAACTGGCGTAATGGTTACAGTAGAGAGTATAGAGAGTACCAAAAACAATGCCATTATTTTATTACTACATTCAATAAAGTTGCCAGTTATCCGGACGATCACTTTTAAATCATTATACCCGAGCAACCTGAGTTCGATCCCCGGTGACGGAACCAATGAAAATGGTTAATTTTAAATGCTGATTACGAATGCTTTAGGTCGTTCATGGGGCAAGGTGTGCGCATGTATAATAAAAATCCACAGTCGATATTAAGTCTGCCGCTTGATCAATTTAAAAGTAAAGTAAGTAACTTATGGTTAAAGCATTACACTTTTGCGGAATATCTCGACGACGCCAATGTGTGGAGTTAATACTGTTGATACTCACGTTTTATCTTCGTAGTCATAATTCGGTATGAAAGTTACGAAGCTATGTTACTAACGGTCGTTCGTTGAATATAGGAACCGGGCATTAGTGATATCACATGTTCAACGTTGAAGGAAAATGTTTTGAAATATTTCGCAGAATAATATTTCGAAGATATGTGAAGCCCTCCAATCCGCAGTGGGGCAGCGTGGTGGACTTGCCTTAATATCCTCTAAACGAAGGAGGCCTTTGCCCAGTAGTAGGACATATGTAGGCTGTTACTTTGCTTATTACTTAACTGCGTTTTGTCTGCACGGTGTAAGATGTTACTACAGCGATTTTATGATGTGCCGCATCTCTTATTTTGAAAGTGCTTTTCAAACAATTTCTCACGTATTCTGGCGTAGGTAAAATAAGGTACGCAAGTCGCGCCGAGTATAGACACCCTGGGTACTGAATATCACCCCACACCAGGTGTATGTAAATCGAGAAGCAGTTTTCTTAAGCTGTTTGGTGTTTGCGCACGCCAATAGCGCACTGTCATTATCTCCATTTAGTTTAACATATAACAAATACAATGCCTGTATTGATTTCTTGGTTTTACGCAAATATTAATCAACGTCAATTCATCATCAATTCCTCCCTGTCTTGAGCGGATCGCATCCATATTTTTCCTCGGCTCGCTTTGATATCGTCGACCCCATCGGGCAGGTGACTGCGACGCCTGCCGACACAAATATTATACATGGTCAAATGAACCATTTTACGGATGTTATCGTTCGATTATTACGACCAATATTTATTAATGCCAATGTCTGTAATTTAAAAAAAGGAAAAGCGATAAAATGCGTAAAACAGATACATTTTACATACGTATTAATACGTGCTTGATTTCTTTCAGCTTACTCTTACTGCGGACTACCACTCATCATCGAGCCATCTGTCGCCAATAAGAAAGTGTTAGTAGACATTTATCTTCGTTTTTAATTTAGCTACTAGTTACCTATGGGAAAGTAACGTTAAAATGAAATGAGTTAATTTAGTCTGGCAATGTCCGTTGAGGATTTGATTAAAATCCATTCAGCCCACTTGCACGTCCAAGCAATCTGTTGTATCTTAATATTACTGTGAATTAGAGATACTGCTATCATCTATTACAACAAGTTCATGTTATACATTAATCTTATAAATTTTGCATAATTTACCAGATTTATTAGAAGTAGTAAACGTAGAATAAACATTTTACATTATTGTATATTAAGAGAAACCTATACACAAAAAATCGAAATCAAAATTTGTTAGTAAAACTAATCAGTAAACGTTTGAAGTACAGTAGTAAAAGTAAGGTATTTACGCTCGCACGCTGAGTACGCTTTCTGTTTGAAGTACCGCTATTAGATTAAACCCAAAACGATTATCAACCTGGAATTTGATATACTACGATAAGTTATAAAATGAAAATTTTAGGGTTACTTGAGAATACCACATACTATATTTACTTGTTATACTTGAGATTTCGTTCGTAGTACGCAATACTTAAAAAAATTACATATCCGTCGGAGATATTACTTTTCTAGTTGACCCTGTATCGAAATACATTAGAAGAAAATGGCGGCTTAGTTAGTTGCACAAATGTTTGTCTCATCACCCACCGCGTTCTCTAATTATGTAATTAATGATAAAGTTCAACCTAGTAAGCGTAAGACGCCCAAAGTCGTTTCCCAAATGTCCGTTGTTTGGATATCGAGCAATGTGTATAAACCAAAACTGTTTCCCATTATCAACGCGTAAACAATACAGCGTCGGAGACAGCACCGAACTCTCGTTAATACAAACGCTATCACCGCAAGTTGTTTGAAATAACAACGATTGCGCTTCTTTTCTTTTTTCTTTTTTTTTTTAAAAACATTTCCCTTACTTTAGGATAACATTAGCCCGTGTTGTAAGGACGTTTTACAAACATAAATTTCACACGGACAAACACCCAGATGCGAAACAACTATTTGTGAGTCGCAATAAATAGTTGTCCCGTGTGGGAATCGAACCCACGCCACCCGGCGCCGAAGACGATACCTTGGCGACTGCGTCACGGAGTCATCTTCTAACCAAACGTTATTGATACCGATTACGTTACAAAACGTGGCCCACACGACACTATGCTGATTCCGACGACACCTTCGTAAGCGATTACGGACGATAATAGACGATAAAGCTGCTCGCGGCAGTCCCTCGGAACAAGCAAATCGCACCGTTACAACACTGCAATGGGAGGCGTAAACAGAACTATCGAACCCCCTCAAGGTTGCACTTGAACATGACGCCTATAACGATGCAAAGCTATGCGACACTTTTATAACGGCGGTCTCAATGTCAACAGAAGTGCGTACCACGCGGGACGAGTTACTCAAATCGCTCAAAAACAATGCAGCGGTGCGTTGCGCGAATAGCACTCTCTAGAAGACGCCCCCTCTTCCCCTCCCCACTGACTTGACTCGGTTGGTGACGCGTGAACCCTCAGTTCCGAGAAGCGTGTCGGCGCCGCTGACGTTGTTTACACTACGACTCTATGGGCCATTGTTGCCCACGCTGGCCACAATGGCCTATCGAACCCCCCCTTAAGTCTTGCGGCCCGTCTAGAAGCCGCTAGGCCGATCTCCAGACACAACAAAGCGCGTCACGGAAATGCACCGTGCGGCACGCGTCGTCCCGTTCAACTCTGGATGAAGACGCCATTTTCGGCGAACTTACCATTTTCTCGACTGCATTGCCACATTCCAAGAAGTAGAACAGTAGACAAATGCTGGATTAGTCTTGGCCGAGTTGATGAGATGCACGCAACCGATAATGTTTACGGGCTATAACGTCCACAGACACAGGGCTCAATACTGTTTCCAGTTAGGTACAATTTATATCGACGACACTATTTCACCGCCAAATATTTTAAAAGATGTAGGTACTGAACTGTTGAACGGACTAATCGGCGATCTTCTGGAACGTTCCGATTTTGAGAATAAAAAATTGAATCTTACTTTTATGCAAATTACGTTCAACGTTTTACGATTACGTTAAAACTTAGCTACTTCTAATTGATCGGGTTCTATAGGTGCACTATTTTTACGTTGCGTAGCCCAGGGTAGCGGCAATCACTTTTTCACATTTCTATCTATTATGGCGTGTCCCCACCGATCGTCTATTTTCTTCTATCTCCTGCTATTTCCCACCTTGGTTTGATCGGTACAACGTGTGAATCGTGTTGTTGATGGTTTTGGCCAGTAGTTTACCACCTTCACATCAACGCCCTTGACAATATGAGCGTGTCTCACAAATATTCCTACGAACCCACAACCAGCAGCGCCGAAGCGAGTACCTTTGCAACTTTACCACGTAGTCACCCGCTCAACCAGTTTATCGGTGAGAATTGAATATCATGTCTGAGCTAGTATAATGTGCTCTGCTGATTGTGACTAAAATTCTATGTAATTAATCCCAAGCACCCTTCGCTGAATGTGGGCCGTCTCCTATCACGGCGTGTCCTTTCCGGTCGTGTTCGTGCCGTATCTATTCTCGAATATTTTTGATGTCATCGTCAACGGCGAATTGGGATTATTGGGCCTGCCTGTGGAGGCAGTATGTATACAGTTTATAAACGTATACGCATTTAAAGAAAAGACTCGGCCGTGTTGACTCATCCGTGATGTATGCTGTGATATGTAAGTGTATTGTTAACGATAACGATTCGATTACGGTGACTATGTTACGGATGAATATGGAAATAAAGAATTCCACCTATTTGAACAATGGATCTATTTTTCTCATTATGAACTTAAAAATGTTGTATAGGTTCTTTTTACTTTTAAATTTATACAGCTCATAAATTAGTTTTCTAATGATTACTATTGTATTGAAGTTTACTAAATCTTGTAGCTCATCGTCTTCAAGACAGGTATCAAATTATAGGCCATTTATAGGCGCGAGACGATAAATACACAGTAATCTTTTTATATATAAAAATGAATTGCTGTTCGTTAGTTTCGCTAAAACTCGAGGACGGCTAGACCGATTTGGCTAATTTTGGTTTTGAAATATTTGTGGCAGTCCAGGGAAGGTTAAACGATGACAAATTATGGAAAAATTCCACGTTAAATCGAATTAGCATTTATTTTATTTTATTTATATAAACTGTACTTGTCAACCTGTCAACTGTGTCTGTGTAATCTGTAAAACACTATGCGTGCGATCCGAAAGTTCTCTTTCTATGTTTTCAGATTGACAAATTCCCTAGAAATAATTAATATGGCAAAACGTTTGCCGAGTCAGCTAGTGTTTTATATGACCATCAACGTAAGTGACTAACAACACTTGGTTGCAGCGTGAATACGCCCAACCTGCAGAGCGCCAGCACTACCCAGCTCAAGGAGACCAGCAACGACTCTTCGGGTGGCGCATGGAGGTAGGCCGTAGTTCCAACGATCCCAGCCAATCTTGGCATCGGACTCGGTTGCTTTTGCTGACCTACCAGAAGTTAAAATAAAAAGAAGGCAGTAAGAAGCTAAGCCATCGTTCGATGAATTCACTGGGGCCTGAGGGGTCTTTGTGACCTCGTATCGCTGTCGTGGATACGGGGTCTGTATGATCCCGTATCTACGACAACTTAAATTGTAAATCCGCGTAAGTTAGCTGGAGTCCGGTGCCCAATGAACTGGCCAATATGGGAACCATTTTCGTAATTGTTGTAGAGACTTCCCCCTTACGTGAAGCGTGAATGTGTGCAAATTATTACAAATTTTTCATGTGAAATTTACTTTTTACCTGCGTACATTTGCTGTTGCTTTGTCTAAGTATGAGTGTCATATTAATTAACATACCAAGCACCGAAATTGACCTATCCGAAATCATTGTTCTGTTTGAAAAACTTTCTAATGAACATTTTCAAAACGAAATGTTGTACGGACAAAAATCTCTTATCTTTCGTTTTACGTAACTTTAATATATGCTCTAACTTTTTAGTTCCGCAATAAACGTAGACGCTGCTCATCGAAGAGCTAATTACTTTTGTGTTATTTACGCTTAGTTAGAGATTGTCAATTAATTACATAAGGCTCGATAGGGGCGGGCGGGGGTTCAGCAAAAATCAGAAAACATTAAAGAGAGGAGGGTTGTTGGGGGGAAATCAGGTATTTTTTTCGTTTAACGCGCGATGTCTAAAACGGCAAAAGCAAAAAGTGTCTGGAAATTTTTCAGTTATTTTTTTTAATTATTTTAAGATATTGCAAAAGTCTGATGATACCCTGTACTAAAAAAATACAAGTGATTCTGAGTAGGGGGGCAAGTCTTAGACCTCCTCCAAGTATCACCAAGGGAAAGGGGAAGTTAAAAATAGGTAAATAAAACATCACCATGACTAATGGACGACCCCTTACAAAAAATAGCTTTAACATTGACGCTGCAACTTAATTTTTAAGACTTGCAGAATATGCCATTGTTAAATAACTATTCAATTGTTCCACTGTATGCTAAACTGTTACATCCCTACCAATAGCTACAAATTATTATCTTGGAATTGTGCCCTTACGTTGAACTGTATATACAAGTCAAGATCCACCCCATATTAAACTTTCGCATCGTAAGAAAGCGATAATGCCCCATTGTGTAAGTATTGCGCGTAAAAAAAATAAATGTCTCGTTTATGTTTACTGCAAAAGCCATTGTTCCACGTGAGCCCTATTTCCTCGTACGGGGCATGTTTAGGTAAGGTTCGCGTGTGCAATGTAAACCGACACTGGAAGATTGCAAATAAACGCCGACCCGCTATGTAATTGACAGATGCGCCGCGTCCGTGGAGGCGTTTATTAACTGTACAAGTTAATCAATTGATTGGCGATACCTTGGGGGAGCGAGACGCAATTAGTCGCCGGGCCGACGTCAGTGCGTGTGGGTCGAATGTATGGATAGGGGGTGGAAGGAACCGGATGAGGTGTGTGAGCGTCTAGTGGAATGGGTAAGGGCAAAAGCTCCGGTTACAGAGTGCTTGAAATGTTTACACGTGCAACGTCGTTTCGAATGTATTACCTGTATTGATTTGATGTCATATTAATCTGTTTTACAAATGGAGGCCCCAAGCATAATAACCACGTCCGATTGAAACGGAAATGGACGCGATGAACCCCGTTGAATAGTTTTATTTATATGTAATATTAAAGCTTTCTTAATAGAGATTATTAAATTTGCCGTGCAGCTCTTTGTATGAGCTATATATATATATAATATTTCTATCACGAACAATTCGCTCCATTTCCCAAGTAACGCTTAAATTTCAGTTGACTAAGAAAGCTTGTCCGTATATATTACTCCCAATTACGCCCAATGGCGCGCTACTCCATTACAAGTGGTCCTAAGAAAATCTCGAAATTAAAAGCTGAAGCGCTATACCCGCCCGCGAAAATCAATTCAGCGTGCACTGAAATGTCTCCGGGTTAATATATATACTTAAGCGATCAAATTGGACTCTGGCGCGGCACACGGAGGCCGGGACAGCCTGCATCGTCCCGGTATCCCTTTGTGACGCTGGCACAGCTTTGATGGCTGTGTGACGCGCACTTTGTTTCCACGTAGAAAGAGATTGAGTTGAAGGGCGGGACCAAGTGGGGCAGGATTTAGAGGTCAGGAGGCCTAGGGACAACAAAGGAGTGGAGGCCCCTTGGTCCCTGGATTTCTTTTAATATTTAATGTAATCATGTTTGTTACAAAGTACCGTGGTAAAGGTAAAAGGCGAAAAAAATATGAAAGGTAAAAGTTGTTTACTAGTGTTTACCGTCAGAATTTTTTTTTCCAAAGTATTGTGAAGGCCCGAGGCAGCAGCCCCGGTTGCCCTCCCCTAAATCCGGCCCTGGGACCAAGGGGGGCCGCCTCGCACCGTGTCAGAGACGCTTTTCAATTAACTCTGTGCTCCGTATAGTTTTCGCGGGGTTGGCGTAATTAAATGGCCACTCGACGATCCTCACCGCTGCGTTGCGTTTGCTCTCCACTCTCCTCTGTACACTCCACTTAGTACGGAAACTGCGCTGTGCACTTTTCCGTGTCCGAAAATGTCGCATCTGCTAACTTTTTGATCGTTCACGCTTCGCGACGGAACGGCTGAAACGGTTTGAATCGAGTTTGCAATTGTGATTGTACGATTCGATTGGCAACGGGGTGATGCTAGCTATTTTTTCTCCTATGATATGATCTGAACTTCTTCGGTGGATCGATTAAGAATCTGTACCCATAGGTATTTGGGACCAATGGTATTATATATAAATACGAGGTAGATATGACACATGACACCCACACTCAGGCACTCAAATTACGCCATTTTGGTGTAATTAGATTGCAACTCTATAGACTGCTATTTTTTCTGTATCATATATTTTCGCATTCACTTAATGCCCCATTCCTATATTCAACGTACGGCCGTTAGTTACATAGCTTCATAACTTTCATAACGACTTGTAGATTAAAGGAACGCTAGTAACTCACTTTCCGTAGGTAATGCAACGGCTCGGTAGAAAAAGGCCTCATTTTGTTAATGTAGGAACCGCGCGTACACGCCGTTTATCTAAAAGTCGTTATGAAAGATACGTAGCTAACGGCCATTCGTTGAATATAGGAACCGGACATAAACGTCATAATGTATAGCGGAAAAATTTTCTAAACGCCGCGCAGCATGCGTATGTCATCTAAATCTTTATTAAAACATCATTTTTGGTGACTAGTAGTATGTAGTCGTGACCCTTCTCTCTTAAATTTAAATTTACAAGATGGATATTATTGAATTAATTGACCAACGCGTGAATTAATTAACGTGAAGTTCACATCGCCTACGACCCCACACAAAGAACGGCAAAAAGAGGTGAATAAATTCATATACCGTGAAAAGTTTTCCATTTGTTTATAGTTTTCTATTATAAATAAGACTCCGCTATCTGTCTGTCTGTCCGTCTGTCACCAGGCTGTATTTCATGAACCATGATTTGCCGTTTATTATAGATAATAGTATATAGGAGAACCCTTCTAGCGCGACTCGCAATTGGCCGTTTTTTTATTAACCTTTATTAGATCACAGCTGACATTTGTTTTGACGAAATTTCGAATTCAATTTAGATTTATTCATAATATATAGGTACTCAAATTAATTTAACTTCTTGTATCTTTTGGAATATACGTAGCCTTGAGATTTCAATGTGTGTCTCCCAATTTAATACTTTCGAGTTTGTGTTCCGACTCTGTCAAGTGTTCGGTCGCCGAACGCGAGGGGAATCTACCGAATGAAATATTTCAAGAACTATCGTGAGACCCTCCGGTCGTTAGTTGGATAGGTCACGTGGCCGTTTATAGGTAAAGCGTAGGTAAAAGGTCAAGTCCCCGGGACCTTTCTTTTCAAGCACTTTCCAACTAGAGCTCTCAAATACTTCTTTATGTGAAAAATTTGCAGGCGTACTGGCTGACACTGCGTGATCATCACAACCCATTTCAATCCCCACTGCCATCTTACAACACCTAAGGGGTTGTAGGGTATCTTATGATATCAGCCTGTTTGAGTCCACTGCTGAAAGCCTCCCCCATAATGAGGAGTTGTTGCTATAGTTGCCACGCTTGGCGAGCGAGGTGTCTGGTAGAACTGCGGTTGGTTGTGGCAACCGCAGTTCTTCCAGACACCTTGCGCCTTCAACACTGCTGCCCCTTATTGGCCTGGGTTTATTTGGGTCTGGCGAATTAAGATGGCTATCCCGCCATCTATCGGAGGCCACCGGATGTTTGTGGCTTATCCGTTAGTCGCCTCTTACGACACCCACGGGATGAGATTGGGTGGCTTATTCTTAACGCCGACACCACACGGCAGGTAGGGGGTACCTACCTGCCTGCTTTCAGAGAGCGCTAATGTTATGATACTTACATTTCGTCTTGTTTCTCCTGTCTCCTGAGGGGCTTTCTTTAAGGAAGTGGCACTTCAGTGGATGAACACGCAACAGAGCAAGCTGAAGCGTGACCTTTACTTACCTTCTTAACACCGTGTAAAAATCTACAGATCACATACAAATGTACAGATCTGGGAATTGCTAGTAGCAACCAGAGGGTTATTAGTAAAGGTCATCTGCGGGGCCACAAAATGAATATTGGCAATGCTTGAATGGCTGGACGGGGTGCGGTCAATTGCGCATCAATTGAAGAAGGTGCTTTATTTCGTTCCTATGTCTCTAGCGATTACTAATAAACCGCTCGCCCTTTAGCCGTGTACAATAAATATAGGGCACTCGATGCGCGCTCCTGATTTGTTTGCCGCTTAATCCTATACCATAAGATAAATCTGGCGCGAGCAAATCTCACATCAACGCTTCCACTCCCATTTGGGAGACGTGAGACTTTCCGGCCACGTCGCGTCGTCCGCAAAGGGCCCTTTTTTGTGGCTCGCAACGGACGATGTGCTAATTTGGCAACGTGTCGCGGTCCCGGACACGCGAGGGACGCCAATTTGTGCACCAATGAATGGCTCCTTTGAAGTAGCCGTTTGGCGCACACCTCCCCTCGACACCCCTACCCGCGTGCCGTGATCAAACAGTGTGAAATGCGGTTTGTGGGCGCGCGCCCTCGCCCGGAGCCCTTACACGTTATGGGGATTAATGTTTGGTGTGCGGAGGAACCACTGGTCGCGCCGGTTGCGTGGCGTTCGGCTTGCCTTCAACACAAAGCGATGCTTCTACGCGAACAGTGCTAATGTCTGCTTGCAGGCCGTCAGGGTTGTGTATTGCTTGGTTTTATCTGTTGTGGCCGAGTCATGTCTTTTGTACTTGGAAGGTATCTTAATTTCTGGCATTTGGTATCACGAAAATCTAATGTTCCGTACGAGCGTATTTTAATCACATTTGGAATCCGAACGTTTCCACCGAAAGAGATCGTCGTCAATAATATCCCGGCAACCCCGCTGTGACGTCCGACATTCTATTGAAACTTCCCACTGCGTCGATATTAATTGCACTGGTGGAATGTTTTTACCTCTCTTCCATTCAAACTGCGATATCAGAGGGAAATGAATTCCTTTGAAATCTGTTTGACGCGCCAGTTTTCATTTGTCTTTGAGTGCCTCTTGTCGGCTGGGACGGTCGAGTTGAACTGGTTGTTTTTTTTCGTCGCTTTACAGTTGCCTTTTGGAATGGTTTCGTCGCTTTTGGTGTCGAGCTTGGGGGGTCCGCGAGCGATTATTCGCTGGATTCCCAGCGCACCTTTCCACCTCGAAAATGCACTTTCGTAGGACATAACCTACTAGGTGTGTACACTACGATCTGATAAAAAAGAATACTATTGTCTGTATACTGTTGTCACATAGACACGTGTACCATTTGGTCTGGCAAACGGGCAAACTCACCGGTTTATTGAAAGATTCGTCTCGTGTTCTAGTTTGGTGTGAATGAGTCCACTCGACGGCCCCCGAGGGGTTTGGAAATTGTGAGATGTGTTTACACTTAGGCATTTCGTGTGGAGTAACCCCCTCTATCCTATTATGCGATCGCGGCGTTTTCAAATTGTGTACAGGCAAATTAGGACCACCTTCGATCGGTGTGATCGACGTGTTTTGAGGTTTGAATGTGCATAAATAGAAAAACCACTGATGATGACTGATGGAAATTTTCGATTGCGGTATTCCTTCAAACGTTTTGATCGTATCTAATTTGGTGCAGCTACCAAGACGGAAGCCCAACTGCGGGGCAGCTTATTTATTCTATAAGAGTCTATCTTGCACGCCTAATAATACCATTGCTCATGAACCACGGGGTAATTCCCGGTTCCTATATTCAACAAACGGCCGTTACTTACATAGCTTCGTAGCTTTCGTAATGACTTGTAGATAAAAGGCGTGTATGTCCGGATTCTATATTAACAAAACGAGGCGTTTTCCTTACGAGCCGTTGCATCACCTACGGAAAGTGAATTACCAGCGTTCCTTTAATCTACCAGTCTTTATGAAAGTTAGGAAGCTATGTAGCTAACGGCCTTTCGTTCAATATAGGAACCTGGTATAAGTGGCGTCAGGTAGAAATTATTCGAAAAGACAAAGGATTAACAAGGTTTTGTTGTAAACGCTATATACTGCAAATGTGACTTGATGGCGTTGTTTTTATAAGGTCTATGAATAACTGGTCTAATACAACGCTGCAGTCGTAAATTTAAGTTGATCAAAAGACCTATATAGTTTTCAAATAACACTGAGTTCAGTGACCATTTGCTCATGATTAACTTCACCATCGCAACTTTTGGTGGATGTGGTGAATATTTTATTTAAACATTCACCCCATCTACAACATTCAAAGTTAATTTTGTTATAAACTGCGTTAAAAACACAAGAATACAATGAAATAACTCTTTAAAAGATCAGAATGGTGTTTTCTCTACATGTGAGAATGACGAACGACATGGACAAGAACAATGTTAGAGAAAGTATGAAGAAACCAACTAAGAATGTTTGTAATAACAATGTATACACATATTCATAGTCGGTACAAATACAAATTTATTGTGACAAGGTCACTATATTCCGCTAGGTTTGGTACACATATTTCTTTGTTATTGATCGGTTCGTAAATTATTCATTAAGAGCAACGCCGAGTGAAGAGTGTGTTGCGCGGTGGTACCTTGAACTTTGAAGGCAGAATTCTCAATCGTACCAGGGGAAATTATTTAAACTTTTACATGCAAATATCTGGGTGCTGGTTATTTGCCAACCGTTAATACTTGCTCAAGATCGAGAATAGGCCTTCCCAGAGACTCACTGGTAACTTAAAATATATGTCTCTTTTTATTGATCTCTAGTTAGACAAACATAGCCAACCCCGCAAAGTTTTACAAGATTTCTCCTGCCAGCTTATGTTTACTGGCGATTTTCCAAGCCCTTGTCTCCATCTGCTCCTTGTCGGACGCCTGAATAGTGCGCCGGATTAGCATCATCAACTGCTTGAAGAAGATGTACGATCGGATTATTCTCGACAAGACTTCTTCGACTCTTCACGATCAATTCGGTTTGGCAGGGTACATCTTGAAACACCTCCCTCACCCATGAAATATTATAATAAGTTATAGGTATTGAAATATTGTAATATTATAATAATTTGTATGTATATTTTTTTCATTGTGAAGCAGGCTCGTGCACACCATTCGAGCTGTTGAATCCGCGCACTTCATTCATGACACGTTCCCAGCGATGCTCCCCCTTGCCGCGGGCGTAAATCAAGGCTCCTGCCTCTCTCCCAGGGTCTATTCACTTTACACGAACGACATTCCTAAAGACACAACTCACTCCTACGTTTCACAAACGTCACTGCCCTATTCTATTCGGACCATATAGTGGATACATCCATGCCACACGACTATTAACTTCCAAAACACCGCCAAACGCTCCAGTAATTTATTTCGCAAAAGAGAACGGATATTAACACCAAAAATACGTAGCTATACATTTCAATAGAATTAACGACGCAGCTAAATCACCCTCCCACCGAACCTGAGCTCGCCAAAACAAAAGCTGGGGCAAGTCACCTTGTACGGCCAACAGAGCCGAGATCACTTTCGATTACGAAATTTTTATTAATACATTAAAAACTTTAAGAACAGTACCGTGTTCGTAGCAAGGTGACGCTATAATAATATAGAAAATATACATGAAAATATACATAAACGCACTCTGCAACCAATTTGCTTTCACTTATAAGGCTTGCGTACACACCACAAAGTTGCCTACATTTTAGGGCAAAATTAATTTATTCGCATTGCAGCCGGTGCAATCAGAGAACCTTATATCGGCACTGCGATTGGACTCCCGCTGGGAAAACAACGATTAATGCAACAGTCTTAGTTGTTGCACGAATGGGCAGGTCCGTTCGGGTAAGTACCACGACCTTACAGAAGACCGGTGTGAAGTAGAAGTTTTATATTTGTGCGTTTCGTCTGTTGAGTGTGGCAGCCGGGGCCCGATTTATTTAAAGGCGGCAACGCATCTGCAACCCTACGGATGTTACAAATGTTCATCTCTTACAATTATTTAACCTAAGGTGAACCGGCAGTTCGTTTCCACCTTATCACATACAAAAAGACATAGACATAACACTCATCGGGGTCACAGTCAGTAACGGACCTCGATGCCCCCTGGGTGACATTCATTAGATAACGCACGTGTAAGCACATGCGCAGCCCTGTCTAACCCAGAAGACCGCATCGGGCTATTCTACGAGGATGGATATTCCCACGTTAGATGAAGCTTCTATGGTATACGGACGAAAAGCAAAGACAAAACTCACAAAGGATTTCAGTACCCGATTGTGAGAGGGGATACCCTCTCCTCTCACAATCGGGTACTGAAATCCTGCCGCAACATTTAATATGAACTATGTTCCACTGAAAAGAGTATTTAAAAAATTTACGCAGTCTTTAAGTACGGTAATATTTAGACGTGTTGTATGGTTTGAATTCCACTAGATTTAGGCGATCGCCCTTGTATTGATTCGAGCAATGTTTAAATAATCGATCGGCTTAAACGTCTAGTTAATAATAAATAGCTAACGTGGTCGCTTAATTAGGGCAACCGACCGTTCGTTGCCTTGGTTACATAGACAATACAAAAATTCCTTGTTCTCACATTTTCTAGAACTGTCTCGCTCACATACTTAGCTTGACGAATTTCAGCAATTTGTATATTATAATTATTCATGTGAATTATTATTAAGATAGATATTTTCAATTGTGTTGTAATTTACAACTTTACAAGGTAGTCTAATGCTAATTAGGGGCGCTCGTCGTCTGTTTCAAAGCTTTATATTTGCGGTATGAGGTAACTGAATTTCCGTCAAAGAGCCTATACAGAAGAATATGGAAAGCTTAAAACAGTTTCAATGGGATAAATTAATAACACATAGTATTAGTAGTAGTGTTTTGATAATTAATAAATAAGTGTATAATGCTTCTATAATAAATAGAGATTTTGAATTTTAAACTTGAATAAATGTACAGTAAATTATTTCATCCACTTGATGTGTTTATCGGACTTTAAAAAGTTTGTTTAAAACTGTACATACATTTTAGCGACGTTTTTTATTGTTATTTTGTTAAATTTACTATTGAAAATAGTATATACACGTACCTTACAGACTACTTTGAGTACATTAACTAGATTTTAAAGCACTTCAACTTGAAATGCTTTAAAATCTAGTAAATATAAACGAAACAAAAGAGGTGGACCTTTTTGGAACAAAGTGTGCAAGAAGTTAATTGCAATAAGTAAAAACGGTATATCTTCGAATGGACCGGAATTAAGTTTTATGAACGTATCACATGTCATTGAAAACGTGACGTAGACAACGAGATGAGATAAAACAAAGTTTATATTAATAATATAAATATAATATACGTGAAGTCAGGGCCAAATTTAGAGGTCCGATGGCCTCGGGGCAAAAAAGGAGTGGAGGCCTCTTGGCCTCAAATTATTTTCTATTGATTTCTGTTAATATTTAATGTAAACATGTTTGTATAAAGTACTGTAGGTAAAAGAAAAACGCGATAAAAAAATATGAAAGGAAAAGTTGATAACTATTGTTTACAAGGCAGAATTTGAAATTTGTTCTTCCGAAGACTATTGGGGAGGCCCCGGGGCTATTGCCCCGGTTGCCCTCCACTGAATCCGGCCCTGCGTGAAGCAAAAACTTTGTACCCCTTTTTACGAAAATTGCGCGGATGGAGTGGTATAAAATTTCCTACACTTATGTAGTTTATATAGAGTAGTGTATAAAACATACACACACTACTGTGTATGATTAATTATGGTTGAATTTCCACATTGGGCGACCACTAATTATTTAGAGTTACTCTGAAAGAGTTCGTAAGTAGGTAGTTTTATAATCTATCATGCGCAACAAACCGTAACCAGTATCGGATAAATATCGTAGATATCTTAAACGCGATACTAGCTTCAATCTTAAAGCGATTCGTTATTACCATTTTCCTTTAATAACTATTACATCATTTAAAACAACAAAAAAAATAATTTCTATTCATATGCGATTGCTTTCAAATGTTTATTTATAAATATAACATAATCCGTTTCCTGTGCCAGTCATTATTAAAAAAGTTATCTTACGGATGGACATGTCTCATTGCCAATCATATTTGCGGAAACTTTTCAGTATTGACTGAATAAAATATGTAATGTAAGAAATTCGCTGTTGTTTAATAACGGGTTAATTATTTTTTATTTATAAGAACTTTTAGTGTCT